AAGTGGGGAAAATAATGGCCCGAAGACCTGCTGTCCCCAAAATCTGCATGCTTAATATTACATGGTAAAAGGGACTTCGCACATGGAATTCAGACCTTAATCTCCAAACTGCTAACTCAGGCCTGGATTTGGTCTCTGTCCCAGCTACTCCTTTCCAAATCCATCCACAGCAAGAGTTAATCTAAGCTTTCAGATGACCAAAGCCACTGTCCTTGCCACTGGCTGGCACAGAGCTTGTGGGTGACATTTTGCTGTGACATTCAAATAGGTTAGAGCCTACAGTACCTTAGGAGGAAACCACCCATCTTCAGACAAAAAATGTGCTCTCCGGCTGGCAAACATGGAATAACCCAGTTATTGGAAACTGAAGTGGGAAACTATGTCAAAGAACTACTGGAAACCACCCAAATCAGAGATCTTCTGTCAATACTGTTGCTTCTAACTAAAAGGCAGAGCTCAACAGAACTGATGATTCACCAGGATTTTTAGCAGTTAATGACAGTCTCCTCTGAGAAATGCAATAAATCCAATATTTTTCTCTAAAGAATCAATGTGTTGGGCCTGGGGATTTAGCTCAGCAGCATAAGCACCTGCTTTGCAAGGAGGCGGTCGTGAGTTCGATCCCCGGTACCGATAAAAATGAAAAAGACAAAAAAAAAAAAAAAAAAAAAAAAGAATCAATGTGTTGCAAGATGGCACCCCTTTCTAATCACTTGCACCCTGCCCTCCACTTCTAGCTCACCATCAGTGTCAGTAGCTCTAATTTTTATCAACGCTGAATTCAGCTCTTTCCCAATTTTCTTATAGCATTTTTAGTATATGTTTTTTTAATCAGTCCTACTTAGAGGAATAGTGCTTCTCTTTTTTAAAAAAATGTTTTTTAAACTATTCCTCTTGGCCTACAATCAACCAAAAGTCTATAAAATGAGTTTTATGGTTTAGATGTAGAATGTCCTGCAAAAGACTCATGTGTTCAGAGGCTGGGCTTTGGAAAGGTGACTGGATCACAGTGGCAATATAACTGACTTCTTGTTAGGAGGCAGAACCTGGTAAGAGGTGGGTCACTGGGAGCATGGCCTGGAAGGCTGCCTCCCTCCCCACCCCCTTCCTCCCTTGGCTCGATCTGCTTCCAAGACGCCCTTATATGAGTAGCTTTCCTCCAAGCCAGATCTTTTCACCATGCCATGTCTGTATTTTAGCCTGTGGACCATGGACTAAAACATCTGCAACTGTAAACCAAAATAAATCACTTCTCTTTTAGGTTGTGGGCGTCAGGTATTTTATCCCAGGGAAAAGGAAGATGACTAAAAAATAAGTTAAATACGCCAAGTAAAGATTTCCAGAACCAACAAAGAGATGAATAAACATTTAGGTGCTAAGGGCCCTGGGAAGTATAAACAAAGCGAAACATGGATGGTTCTTGTCACTACATGTGCCTTACAATGTCACTAAACATATGATCGAGACTAGTAATAATCTAAAAATTATAAGTTATATGCAAAACAATTATTTCAGTCACTCAAAATAGGGAGAGATTGTTTCTAGCTAAGAAGATGAGAGGAAAAGAGCTTTACATGGGAGCTGAAAAATAATGCAGGAACCGTAGAGATGATTCCTCCGAGATGGGACATTTTCTTAAAACAAATATCTAAAAATTCTACCTGCAAAACCTCTCTTGGTAGACAGCTTCATAAGACTTGAAAAGGATTTTAAAGGAAAAAAGGGGATTCGGTTTTAAAAATGATTTCTGGGGAGGAAAGGGGATTTTTTTAAAAAGCTGTAATATGTAAATATAACCACTCCCCAAGATGACTGGAAAATGTATAAATTGTAAACAGCCACTAATAAAAAATAAATAAATAAAAATAATAAATAACTTCTGGGATTCTGGATGTGGATTCTGCTGAAACTGAAAGTCATTACACTTCTGGATCGTTCTGGATTCTTTGACAATTCCCACCCAGCTGTGTCCCTGAAGGCTGAGTCTAGCTGGGGCAGTTTCTGTCTATGACTGAGCCATGTGGGCTGGTTCCAACTGAATTGCCTTGGCACCTTTCTACTCAGTGCATAGGCATAATACAGGCTGCAGAGCTGTATTTAGATCCACATTATTAATTAAGAACAGGAAAGATTCTAACACCAGCCAAACCAAGTCTCAACACCATTTAGTATCTGACAATCTTCTGTTCTGTGCCCTAATTCACTAATACAAAATAATGTTCAAACTAGCCCCAAAGTGAAAACTAATTGTCTATTAACAGTTGCTGTATAAATAAGTTATGGAGTGGCACACTCCTACAATCTCAGTCCGTGGGAGGCTGTGGGAGGCTGAGGCAGGAGAATTGTCTGCAAGGTGGAGACCAGCCCAGGCTACAAAGTGAGCCCAAGGCCAGCCTGAACTGAATAACAAGACCCTGTCTCAAATAAACAAATAAATACATTGTGGAATATTCATATCATGAAATACTATAGAATGAGGATAAATTTGATGAGCACAACCTTAGTCACATACAAAAAACATACAATACTCTTTTATCTATATAAACTTTAAAAAGAGAGCATGCATCAAGAATCAGAAGAGTATTTACCCTGATGCAAAAAGAATTAAGAACTGAAAGAAACTAGGGAGACCTCTGGAATCCTGAAAATGTCTGCGTGTTAGTCTGTAAAGCTGTTATAAGGAACATTTACCTTACGAAAAATCATTAGGTTACACAATTCATGATAACACTTTTCTATTCGAATACCTTATTTAATAAGAAGTTTACCTTAAAAAAGAAAACTATTCATTATGTTAAAGGCTAAGCAAATATCACTTTACAATTTAAAAAGCAACAAGTGTACTCACAGTCATAATTTTTTGTTTAAATTTCTCACTTATGTATGTGTTCATTTTATTTAGTCAATCAATGTATACTATACTCAGGTAGAAAATCCAAATATTCCCTTAGTAATATCATAATATTAAACAAGGAAATATATTAATGCTAAAAATCCTCTACCCATGGATCAGGGATGATTTATTTCTCACTTCATCCGTCCTGATAGACAGTGAGAAAGGAGGGAGGGAAAGAGAAGGAAAAAAGAAGCAGGAGGATGGATTGGGAAAGAACTTCAGACTCTTTAAAAAATCTTTGGGAGGGAAAAACAAGGTCATCAAAATATGTTCTGATGCTGCCCAAATTTTTGTTAAAATTTTGTTACAAGTCAGTTTTGTTACATGTCCCCAGTAACTTGCACTCTGTGAGCTGTGGGTCAGGAAACAGCAAATCAGTCTGTAGCCAGATTCTGGCTGAGAGTCCTAACCCCAGCAAGCCAGTGGTTGCTCTGCGTACTGCCCACGGATTTGTCACTAAGCCATCTATAATCCTAACTATAGAAATTCCCTCCTAGTCAGTAATGGCAGTGCACAGCTTCTCGCAAGTTAAAACTAAGCACAGAAAACATCCCTCTTTCCTGCCTTCCTAGGTCAGGTCTTAGATAAATGCCATTCACATAGGATGGAGGTCAGGGTTTCCTGACAATAGGAAGGAAAAGAACAGTCTCGGGGGAAGTCCCTGTTTAAACGGGTACAGGATAAATTCCCCGAGGCCACAGCCTTGTTGGGTTCTTCCAGCGTGGAGTACTTGCCAGCGGGTATAGCCAGGACTTGGGACTGCAGCAAATAACCTTGGTTAAAAAGCAGAGGACCACAAGGGCCCAGAAAGTCAGGCTCTTTGGCGCTTGAGAAAGGCCAGTTGCTCTCCTCTGACACCCTAGGAAAACTGTCACCTGTCAATCACTTGACCTAAATACACCAGTCACCGGGGGAAAAGGGGGAGGGGGTTAGTTGGAGCATGCTCAGTGATCAGGATGACATCACTTAATCAATGCTGGGGACGGGAAGGCTGCATCAGCACCCTGGAGCGGGTTGCCAGGAACGCGTCAGCGGGGACTGGGAGGTTCGCATTAACTTGCTCCCTCCCCACACGGCTCACATACAAAGGGGGCACAGTCAGCCACACAGCAGCGGATGGTCAAGGAGGGGGAGGGGGCAGGCCTGATGTATTTAATCTGACATACCCCTTTAAGAGCTAAAAATCCTTCCCCACCCCCTGGGCTGCAGAGAGAAATCAGTTGGGGGAAGGGAAAAAAGGTGGGTTAGGGTGATCAGGAGGGAGGGGGCCCAGGTCACAAAGAGGAACTTCTGTTGTGGGCACCGAGGGATTATGTGGCTGCTCTCGGGGCTCCCCCACCGCACAGATCTAGGCACAGCCTCCTTTCCACCCAGCAATAAGCATATTCCACAATCTCCCGCGCCAGGTGTCGGGGGTGGGGGCTGGGGTCGTTCGTGTAAGGAGGGCACACATCCAGGGCACCCTGGGGTGACAAGAAGCTGAAATAGTCACACCAAGCCTCCCGAGCTCACCAAGACCACCAGTATTCCCTTTCCCTCTCCACCTTCCGCGCGCGCGGAGCAAGGTGAAACATCGCAGGGTGCTGCGTCTGGGCACAGGAGGTCCAAGCCCGAGCTAGGATATGTTCCTACGCTTTTTTTTCCCATTTTTTTTTTTTTTCTTTTGCTAAGGTTGTGAGAATAAAAAACAAAAATGCTCGACAAATCGAACTGATGCCTGCAGGCGTTTATGAGTTTCGAGCTTGCACTTTTAAAGGGGGCCTGGGCACCCAGACTTGCGTGTAACCCGAACACACTACCCACCTGGTGGCGAGTGTGGGAACAATAGGCCCTCCCGGGCCCCCACCCGCGAACAATGGCGGATCTGAGCCCTTCCTCGCCCCCAGCCCACCCGCACCCCGGGGCCCGCCCCACTGTCCCCAGCGGCCCCTCCAGCAGCTCGCTTGCCCACGGCTTAAGGACCACGGGTGAGGCGTGAGGGGCCCCTGGCATGTTCACAGGGGCGAGGGGGGTCCTGGGCCGACAGAGGAGGCTGCCCCGATACCTCCGCCCGTCTGGGGCGTCGGGCGAAGCGCGAGAGAGGCCATGCGCGCCGGCCACTTACCCCGATCACCACGGTCTCGTCGCCTTTGAATTTGGGGATGAATTTGTCCCCGCGGAGGATCTCCGCCTCGTTGAGGGGCCGGAACCTGCACATCACTTTGATGCTGCATTCGGCTGGATCCGCCATCGCGGCCGGCTGCTGGAGGGGGCGCAGGGACGGGTCGGGGCCGGGGCCGGGGCTGGGCACGACGAGGGAGGAGGCCGCGAACCTCACCGCCCGCGGCTAGGCCGCCTCCTGCCGCCTCCCACGAGCGCCTCAGCAGGTCATCGCCGCTCCGAGACCGGGAAGGTGGGCGGCCTGCCAGCCCCGGGCCCCGCCAACCGCAGACCTCCTGCCCTGGCCCGGCCCTGCGCCCTCGATCCACCTGCCGGCAACCACACGACGGGCAGGCGAAGCGATGTGCAGGGAGCGAGCCTCGCCCGGCTCAGACCTCCCGGGCTCCTGCGCGCCCAGCCATCCTGCATCAGCACCAGCAAGCTCCACCGCCCTCGCCCCGCCCCTCGGCCCGCCCCCTCGGTCCGGCCCCGCCCCAAGAGGATGACATCACCTCGGAGATCCGCCCGCCCCGCCCGGCAGTGAGCGCGGGCATCCCGGGACTTGTAGTCCGACTGAGCTGCAGGAGCCAGGTCCGGGATGCTTGGAGTGGGCTTGTGGGACAGCTGCAGTGCTTCACGGGCGGCTTCATAGAGCCGCCCTAACTAAGAAATGAATAGAAGTCATATTTTAAAAGCTTCATAAATAATCAGGTTTGTATCGTGTCACATCTTTTCCAGATACCACAGACATGAAAGATCTACGTGCACGTCTGAACAATTATTGAGCATTTTCTCTATGTTGAAGAATTTTGAAACAGTTCTGGGACAAGAAAGGAGGAAATGAAATGTGCATGTGTATTTTTAAAACTGGAAGTGCCTGTATGCAGGTGGTAGTTCATGACACATTGTGAACCAGGAGCTCCTTTAAATGTCTAATGAAAATTACAAACTGTTCCTAGAAGTCTCTCTAATGCTCAGCACTCCCAGTTGAGATAGCCCCTCTGGGTCCACTGGGTGACTGAACTAAATCTTTTCTCTGAGCAGTCATTCGGTCTACATGCTGCCACGGTTGAACACTGTAACACAGTTGTGTCTTGCACATTTTGACACCTTTGTGTCAATATCAAGTGCATAGTAGCAGCACGCTAAAGAAGAAATGCATTAGAGGTGAAATCTATGATGTATACATGGTATAAACTCTTAAATTTTAGATATTATTATTATTATTTATTAGGATGCTTAAATCCAGATATATCTGGAAATACAAATGCTCTATGTACCTGAGAAGACAGACCCACTAAAGTGAACTTCTATAAATCACTGTAGTACCAACTTGATTTCCCCTCCTCAGATGCAGTGAAAGTATATTTTAAAGGCCCAAGTAACCTAGTGGCACAGATCTATAATCCTGGCCCTCTGAGAGACTGAGCCAGGAGGATTGCAAGTTCAAGCCAATCTGGGCAACACAGAAATTCACCAAGATTCTGTTGCAAAATAAATATTGAAGGGGGAAGAGTGACCGTAGAGCTATAGCTCAGGGAGAAAGCCCCTGGTTCAAGCTCTAGTTAAAGCAAAAAAGAAAAAAGACCTAAGCACTACTTTCTTATCTGTTTTCACACTAAGTCATTCTCAGCTATGGACCCAAGATCAGTTGCTATGGTTTGGATGCGGTTCATCTCCTCCAAAACCCATATTGAAATTCAGTCTTCAGTATAACAGTGTCAAGTGAGGATAGGGCCTTTAAAGTGGTGGTTAGATCATTAAAAAGGATTAATGCCTTTCTCAAATAATGGAACTGGATTAGTTACCACAAAAGTGCTATGTTAATTACTTCTCTTTGCTGGTCCAAAATACCTGACACAAGTTAAATTAGGAGAGGCTTATTTTAGCTCACATTCTATAGAGGTTTTAGTCCATAATTAGCTGCCTCCAAGGCAGGGAATCATGGCAGAGAGTATCAAGAGTTTAACAGTTCATGTTTTGGCAGGTAAGAGGCAGTGAAGCAGTACAGCTTCCTTTCCCTTTTTATTCCATTCAAGCTACAAACCTATTGGTTGGTGTCACTCACACCCAGAGTGGCCCTTCCCATTAACTATACCCAGACAATACTAAACAAATCAGTGGGGTAATCCAGCTATCATACCTGTAATACAGTACCACATACCCATGATCCAGCCACCTCCCCAAAAGCCCCACCTATGAGTGCATGAGACTTTGGGGTATATCTAAACATAAGTCATAATAAGTGGTTTGTTATAAACAACTTCAGGTTCCTCAGTTCTCTCTCTTATTTTTCTCCCTCTCACCTCTTCTTCAGGTGCTCACTTGCTTCTTACACTTTTCCACCATGTACAAAACAGCAAGTGGCCCTCACCTGAGGCCAAGCAGATGCCAGTGACTTTCAGGACTGTGAGCTTTTAGACTTTCAGATTCTGAACCAAATAAATGTATTTCTTTATAACTCACCCATTTTCTTTTTTAATCCATTCATCACTTAATGGACACTGAGCAGCTTTAACTTTCACATTTATGAATAATGTATTTCATATATTTTGTATAGCAATGGAAAGCAAACTCAAACAACTTTGAAGTATAGTGAAAAGGATAATTTAATAGCGGCTTCTGTGGGCCCACCAGAGGATGCTCAAAAGATTTATCTGAGGAAGTGAGCTGCAGGGAAAACCTGGGGTATTCAGAGATCTACCTATGTGTCACTGGGCTCATTCTTCCTTCCTTCCTTTGTTCATCTGTATATCTTTCATCCATTTTTTTCCCTTTGGTGCCAGGAATCAAATTCACAATCTTGCACTACTGAACAGATGACATTTGCTATTACTCTATAAATTTAGATTTGTTGCTTAACCCTTGCAAGGTAGTTACCATAGAACTCACATTGGAATGAACATCACCATGCAACTCAGAGATTCAGAAACAAGTCCAAGCCCAAAGGATGCAGTGCCGGTGGTGCCTGAGAAGCCTTAATAGAAGAATAGACTAAGTAAGGTTCAAAAAGGACAACAAAAAAATTTTAAAGTGTCATAATCAAAGGATAATGGGAAAAATAGATAAATTTAACTACTTCAAAATTTAAAGATTTTTGCCCATCAAAGAGCACCATCAACAGCCTCAAAAGACAACTGATGAAGTGAGAGAAAATATTTGCAAATCATATATTAATAAGAAAATGGTATGCAAATATATAAAACTCTCTTGTAATTTATGACCAAAAGAGAAAACTTAAAATAAAAAATTGGCAAAGAAATTAAATAGACAGAAACAGAAAGGGAGGAGAGGAGCAAAAATGAAGGACAGGTAACAACTGGCTACAGAAGATCCCTGAGGTAGTCAACTTAAAATTCAACATAATACAGAGTAGGGAGCCCCAAACAGAGGGAGATGAATTCTCTCGTCCCAAGAAGAAATTAAGGTGACTTGCTGACCATCTGAGGTCCCGCCGTGACTGGCTGAGGCCATGACTTGCCAGGGTCCCACCCCGACTTGCCAAGGTCCCACCATGACTTGTCGAGCTGTCCCACCGCTTTGACTCACTGGAGGCGCAGTTACATTGAATTCAGGGGTCAGCAAGACAAATGGGAGGCTGAGTTGGCAGGGTGCCTACATCACCTGTGGTGAGTGATGGTAGTGGAGCCATTCCATAAATAGGGGGGCTCCAGCGGACAACATTCTGGGGCCAGGCAGAACTGGCAAGTACAAGGGGTAGCAGTGACTTCAGTCAATTGTTCCCTTCCCAAATGGGATTGGTGGAATGAGCTAGATGTGGGTCACATGACTTGGCTGAGACCCAATAGGTTATCTGAGGCCAAGTCCCTGCAGCGCTGGCACACACTAACCACACTGGCCCAGTAGGGCCTCAGAGGTTTGGCTGGTCTGAAGGGGAGGTGGCACAAAGTAATACAGTAGTGCAGGCCACAGCAGCTTGACTGATCTGGAGGGGAAGGGCTGTCATATGCTGTCACTGTCTGCAACTCACTAACACACTGCATTGTGAAGAGTCATCTAGCCAGCACACTTCAGAAGAATTGTAACCAACAAAGAAAGAAACTGGGGCCTCCTGGAAGAGACAAAAAGATGCGAAGAGGAAGCAACAACAAAAAGTCCCCATGCCCCAACCCTGAGAACACTGACCCAGGACAGGTAAATACAAAGGAGAATGAGAACAGCAAACATGCAATACCAGACACAGCGCCAGTGGACATAAAGAGATATATTCGGGACCTCATAGATGAGTTCAAGAGTGAGCTATTTAGCCAAATAAAACAAGATACAAGAAGATTAATGAAAGAGATACTAAGCACCCCTCAAGCAGACACAGACAGAAGAAGGGAGGAACTCAAACACAGGAGAGAACCATTTGGTGAAGAATATAAAAAAAATATAGGATACATGAAGCAGATTCAAAGAGATCACCAGGAAATTAAAATCTCTATGGAAAGATGGAAAATCAGCTTGAAAGAAACTAAGGATAGATTATCCAAACTGGAGAACAATTTTGCAATGTGCAAGTATGAAAGGGAAAACTTTTTAAAAATAACAAGCAGTAACAGTACAAAGGCTAGAGGATGACAAAAGGATCTATAACTTCAGAATAAAGAATGTAAATGAAGAAGCTGGGATACAAACAAAGGAACTACAAAGGTTATTCACAGAAATAATTAAGGAAAACTTCCCAAACCTAGGAAAAGGAAATGATATTCTGATATATGAGGCATACAGGACTCCAGCCACCTACAACCAAAACAGAGGCATATAATAAGATCCCAGAAATTCAATATAAGAACAGAATATTAAAAACTGTTAGAGACAAGAAACAGATAACTTACAGAGGAAGGCCCATCAGAATAATGGCAGACTTCTCAACACAAACCATCAAGTCAAGAAGAGCCTGGAGTGAAATAGTCCAATCCCTGAAAGAAAATAACCTCCAGCCCAGGTTGATGTACCCTGCTAAACTATCTCTAGAAATTAACGGAGAAATAAGATGCTTCCAAGACAAAGAGGAACTTGGGAAATTTGCAACCACCAATCCAACTCTACCGAGAATACTCCAGGGCATTCTAGAGAGAGAGAAAAGTAGTAGGATTCCAGGAACAGTGGCAGAGAGGCCTCAATAAATGGAGCAGAAAACAGAATGAAGAAGACAAGCAGACAACTGATGGCAAAAAAAAGAGCATAACAGAAATGAGGCAGAGAAGACTTTATTCAAAACTGATATGATTGATAGTATCAAGTCTGAGAGTATAGGTAACTACACTGAGGATGACAAGACTCTACGATACACATTCTGGTTTGATAACTGCTGGCTTTTGAAGTTCTATACTATATACAAAGTTGTGTTTTTATTAATACTCTTATATACTGACATATTCAATTACGTCTGATGTCTGATGATATAGCCAATTCTATTGGAGATAACAAGAGACAACACAGGAACTATGGTAGAACGAT